AAGCGCACAGGACCCTTGAAACTTGACAGTTCTGTTGAGCCAAACAAAGCTGGAAGACGTATATCACATCGTCGTTTACATCCACTTTGGATGCTAGAGTTGGAGTGAAATACAATAGGACTCTTTAACTTTACCACAAGGCCAGTGTGTACTCTAAAAGGCTAAAGTTCACAGCACCTCTTAGAGTAATAAAAATAACGTGTGCAGTAGCACTGTTTTGTTTATTTTTCTATAGGGCAAAGTCTAAACGTGTAACTTAAAGGAAAGTTGCTGAAGACATGGCTTCCCAAGTCAGGCTGAGGCTGCTCCCGAGTGCCAGGTGTCTGTTTGATGAGCCTATTCAGGTGAAGGTGGCCGGGCTGAGGTCGAGGCAGGTGGTCTCCCTGAGAGCCAGCTCAACCGACGACAAGGGAACTGTGTTCAGCTCTGCGGCCACCTACAGAGCCAATGGCAACGGGGAGATTGACTTGAAGAGAGACCCCTCACTCAGTGGGAGCTACGTTGGGGTTGAACCGATGGGTCTGCTTTGGTCAATGACACCGGACTCTTTGCATAAAAGACTTCAGAAGATAAATGCCCTTAATCCATCCATGGTAAAGTTCTCAGTGCACGAGGAGGCAGGTGAGGGCCGGATTCTGGCAGAGGCGACTAATGAGAGGATTCTAATGGGAGATGGGGTCATTCGGGTCCCCATCAAAGAGGGGAACATTCGAGGAGTCCTGTTTACTCCTCCAGGTTTGTCAGCATCATTTAGGAAAAAAAGTACATACTTGAAAATGTCCTAGTTACAGTTACTCATAATTTTAGCTCCATACAAAAATATGCTTGCTTTGCATGTATGTTTCATTCCAGGCAGGGGTCCCTTCCCAGCTGTGTTAGATTTGTACACTTTTGGTGGAGGTCTGTCAGAGAAAAGAGCCTCTCTGTTGGCCAGCAGAGGATTTTTGGTTCTGACTGTTGCCCTGTATGGCCACGATGACCTGCCTAAAAACATTAAGGAGATCCACCTGGATTATTTGGAAGAAGCTGTCGAGTTTCTAAAAAAACTAACTAAGGTGAGTTAATTTATTCTGGAAGACTCATAGTTGTTGAAGACAACTTTGATGGCTGTTCATTGACATGTTTTTCCACAGGGTTCCAGTAAAAAAGTTGGTGTAATATCCCTTTCCAAAAGTGGAGATCTTGCCTTATCAGTTGCTTCTTACCTACCAGATGTTGAGGCCACAGTGTGGATCAATGGCTGCTCTGCCAATGTAGCTTTGCCTCTCTACTATAAGAAAAGACAAATACATTCTGCATTAATGTTTGATTTAAAGAAAGTGATTCCCACTGAGTCAGGGGCCTTCAACACCAAATACGTTTTAAACAATCCTCTGGCGGAGGAGAACAAGGGCAGCCTGATTCCCATTGAACGAGCCAAAGGACATTTCCTCTTTGTGGCCTCTGAGGATGACCTTAACTGGGACAGCAAGGCTTACGTGGATGAGATGGTGGAGAGACTGAAGCGTCACGGGAAGGAGAAGTTTGAGAGTGTGTCATACCCTGGAGCTGGACACTACTTAGAGCCACCTTATGGACCCTACTGCCCTTCCAGCTTCCATGGGGTTTTAGGCAAGCCAGTCTTGTGGGGAGGTGAGCCCAAGTCCCACGCAGCAGCTGAGGTCCACATGTGGAAGAAGATCCAAGATTTCCTCAGAAATCATCTGAGCTCTGATGCTGCACAGAATAGGGCCAAGTTATAGTTTCAAACTAGACAATGAATAACAAAAATTAAAGTCACGACTGCCATAAAACTGTGATAATCATGTCTGACCTGTTAAATGTGTTGATTAATGATTCACTATTTTAAACATTTAAAGTCTGTAATTTATCACAACAGGTAGAACGGGATCCTCCTTACCCTCAAGGTATAGCTATAATTTTGTGTTAATACTCCATAGTGTCATGTAAATGCTTGTAAGTTTTCTGTTTTCATCATTAAAGTTGGTAAAATTTGAAAAAGGTTTATTTGTATAAAACTTAAAAAGCGTATCCTGAATTCTTGACACGATGTAGATTCAGTCCTTCTGTCACACTGAGGTACTTTGATGTTGCGAGACGATCCAGTTGTCACAGGGTGATGTTGCTGCAGACTTTGTCTCATGTCTATTAAAATATCTATTAAAATTAAAGTTACTTTTGCTGCTGGACACTCTAAAGTCAACTTATTAATTCATCAAAACCAAAAAGACAAGACGTATTGACTGCCGTTTAACTCTAGAATAAATGTTCTTAAGTGTTGATTTCTGATGTATTATTTAATGTAATGAAAGATTGTGATTTATCATAAACTGGCATCTGTGGCTCACAAATTACCTTGAGGCATACTGACACATCCCATCTTCACACAGCAAACTAGACAGACTGGTGCCTATTACCTTACAAGCTAATGTTAACTGAATTTTGTTTTTCCTTAAAATTGTTGTTGCAACTGTTACAATAGACGTGTATTCAAAGGCAACGAATTTGGTCTTGTGTTTGTTGTTCATGGTTTCTCAATGAAGTCCCAAACCAGTGGAACACGCCTGTGTCTCTCTTAGTCCTTGTTCTACCAGACGACCCTCCAGAAAAGGAAGTTCTGCTAATAGGGGATTGTGAACTTGGTGTTTCCTCTTTAATATTACGCAGTCTTTGCCTCCCATTATAAGATAGTTTGGGATGAACTATTGTGAAATGGTACTATATGAATGAAACAAGTGAGCCTGTCAGTCTTCACTACTGCCACAAGATGGCAGTATAAGCCTCTAAATAAACAGTCGTGCTCTGGCTAGTGCTCCCACACAGAAAGAAACAGAATCACATCTACAACGAATTTAGAGCATCATCTATCCCAACCTGCATGGTGCTGGACTGTGGGAGGAAGACCGAGTGTTGGAGATTACTGTTAAGTGAACAGAGTTTTGGGAAACATTACACTAAAGTCTTGAAAAAATATAATAACTCACCATAAAACTCAACCAAACGAATCACCTCAAAGCAACTTTGGCAGAGCGGAAGAGGAATTTAAACAAGAAATGGGAAGCGGGGAACAAAACCTGACGTACTAGTAACTACCTCAACCTCATTTTTCACCTCTGAGATGGGAGATAACATGCTTGCTACAGTGCAGGGAGTTCATGAAGACTGCAGAACCTTCATCTGCCTGTTTGATTTATTAAGCAGCATTGTTGAAAAGCTCCTTCTCTATCTCTCCTGTTCTTTGTGTTTCTGTATCTGACTGCTCCCTTTCTGTCATTTCAGCTCAGTGGAGCTCACGTCAGCTTCTGGCCTTTGAAAGGCATTATACCTGCACTAAGGGATGTATGTTCTGTGGGAACTTGAGATTGACTTTATGCTTCTGTGTTTATGAGTAAATGATGATTAATTCATTTGTGTATAGCCATTCAAATTTAAACTGCATGCAGATACCAGCAGATACCAGAACTGTAACTGAGATGTTAAAAGTATTTCACAAGTACAAGGTATAAAACATACAGGCTTTAGAGACAAGCAGAATAGGTGATCAGAGAAGTTAAGGCTGGGTTCTGAACACTATCCAATGTCCACTTGACATTAACTTGCTGTTGTTAATGGTGAGCTGTTTGTTGTGGCCCATTGTGGAGCCAAAACAGACAGGAGGCAGGTCATGATGCTCCAAAAGACTTTATCAGGGGTGAAGTTTTCAGGACTCCGTGAAACCTCACTGAATACTAGAGTTAACTCAAAACAACCCATAAAAACTGCTGGGGTTGAATTCTTTGCTGAATAATTGTATTGTTTTGGTGCTATTTAAAGAAGATTTAATCAAAGTAAATGGAACTAAATAACATAAGATTTGAAGAGGTTAATCCTACTCTAGTCCAACATTTGTACTTTTGTTTATGTCACATTAAAAAACATTGAATTTGGAAAACATTTCCATTTCTGCAAAATCAGTTACACCTAAAAAATCTCACTGAATTAATTGAAGGTGATTTAAAGGATCTGGAGCAAGCTGGGGTATTTTACCTGGATATTAATACCCCTGGTTTTTGGCCTCTAACAATAACTTTTTGGGATTTTCCCTGTTTTTTTTCCCTCTCACTCACTCTCTCTCAGTCCTTCTGTCCCTTTCATTCTTCTGTGACGCTTCCTTGTGGGTCCACCTGTGGATGGAGTTTCCTTATCCTGTAGTTTCTCTCTCATCATCTAATCGCTTGTGGTATTTAATGAAGGACTGGAGCTGCTGCTCTCCCTTGGATTGTTGTTAACATCATGTTGGTAATTTGTGACGCTGAGAATTCAGTGAATAGTTTAAAAGATCGGCTTATAAAGTTCAAAGTTTCATTGACACAAACAAGCTTTCGGTCAGATTAGCAGCTGATTTCTTTCTTCAAGAAGTCCCCCGTACAGTAACAATTACAAATAATACTGTCTGTTTCAGGTGTTCACCTTTTTCTTCCAACTGATTAAAAAACAGTAAGAACGAGAATGGTTTTGGGCCAAGTTGCTGATCTGGTGAACATTACAAGCCTGCCATGTCTGCACTGTGTATTATTAGGCCATGTTCATGTAGTCTGCACCGTGTAATTATCTTAGCAGGCTGCTGACAAGAGGAGCCAAGATCTCTGTCCCATGTGGTGCAGATGTATTTATTTTTAAGACTGTGTTGTATCTTTAGGACTTTAGTAACAAAGGACAGAGACAAAGACTGTTTTAAAGTCAGTTGAAGAAAACTTGAAAGCCAAAATTCTTCTTAGACTATTCTTACACTTTGCTCAATAATGCGTCACATGATATCGGCTCCCCTTTCTTCACTATTTCATGCTGCTAGCTGCAAGCTTCTTTTTATTTATTTAGTTCATCTGGAAGCCATAATGAGATATTATCCAGTGTTTTATTGTGCACTTTAAAAGCACATTTACTGGGTTTACAATAATGAAATCACTCAAATTTTTTGAGAAAGAGCTACAAATTTGAACCTAGAGGAAATGTGTGAAATAATTTGAAAGGTCCACTCTGTTTCTAAACATAATGGTAAATGGTCTGTATTTGTATAGTGCTTTACTTAGTCCCTATGGACCCCAAAGCACTTTACACTACATTCAGTCATTCACCCATTCACACACACATTCACACACTGGTGATGGCAAGCTACATTGTAGCCACAGCTGCCCTGGGGCGCACTGACAGAGGCGAGGCTGCCGGACACAGGCGCCACCGGGCCCTCTGACCACCACCAGTAGGCAACGGGTGAAGTGTCTTCCCAAGGACACAACGACCAAGACTGTCGGAGCCGGGGCTCAAACCGGCAACCTTCCGATTACAAGACGAACTCTTGAGCCACGATCGCACCCTACATTATGTTATTAATAAATCTTATTGATTGTAGCTGTAAGAGGTCAGTAAATAATTTTTTTATATATATATATCTGTAGCACATGTCTCATACTATAATTTTTTTATGAAACTGGCAAAACAATCAAAAACCACAATCTGAGAGCTGCCTTGCTCTTGGAGCTTTCACGGGAAACTAAATCCTAGCAATAGTGATTGCGATTTGATTAACTGCAATGACTGGTGTAGAAAATTCCTTAGTTCTTGTACACTTTTTGTGTAGTTCTTGATTTTATCAACACACAAAGGAAAAAGTTGGTCTCCAAAGTCAAACAACTTTTGATTTACGCAAGAGCGCTTTTCTTTAGTCTTTGTCTCATTCCTTGCACAGTGCATCCAAAACAAGCAGAGCCACCATATCATCTCCTTTTAATTCATCTAAAAAGGACACGAGGAAACAGTGATTGTAGAAACATTTATTCAAATCCCTCTGCGGCCCTTGTGTTTGGCAGTGGTCCTCGGGCTCTTGCCAACATGCAGACAGCGAACGTGTTGGCCTGCTTTTGAAAACAGATGATCAAAGATTTCCACGTTTCTGGTAAAAGTATAACAATTACATGTTTATCCCACACATTTTGTGCTTTACATTGTTCCCAGTGAGGCCTGAATAGGCATAGACATCATGTCAGATTCTGTGTTGCAACACTACTGCATGGAAATCTGTATTTTCATAGTTTTTAGGAAAAAAAATACATTTAATGTTTGGTATATGATACCGTACCATGTATATTTATGTAGATTTTTTTTTAAAAAGCCCCCTGGCTTAACAGTGCAGTGGTTACACTGCATCAAGAGGGAGCAATAGGTTAACATCATGGGTGTTACTATTTCTGTTTTGAGAGTAATGCCTCCTGCAGGATTTGAAAAACTCTGTAAAACAATAGATAACTAATGAAAAGCTGAGATGTTCTATTAGGAATTTTCTGAGAGGCTTAAATGGGCTTTTTATTGTTAGTGTGTTCAAAACCATTATGAAATCCACTTGACTTTTTTTTGGTTGCTCAAACAAAAGTAAATGAAGTCATCAAACAAAGGAAAAGAACAAACTAACACTACTCAATCAAAACTTAAAACAATACACATTTAGTGTTGCACTTGCACAAGCTTGAGCAACATCCTAAAGCTTTTTTCTTTTATTTTTGTGCCATAATTGTGGTTTAAGATGGAGTACAATTAAAAAAGCCATCTAAAAGGAGCTTTTAACATCATCTGTACACATGTAGAATTTAAAGACTTGCATATTTGCTTGTGCATATACTGTGCAGCAGTGGTGCTGCACATCATCATTGCAGAGATCAGTCATGATGTGACCCAAATATCTAACTTTAGGCACCACATTTAAAACCTAAAGCTTCCTGAGTGTCAAGCAGAGTGGACCAGTGATTTGTACTGAATATCAAAGCAACAAGGTTCTGAGTCTCAACCCAGTTTGTGTGTGCATGTTCTTTGCCTTTCTGGCTTCTTTGGACAGCCCAAAAACATGCATGCAATTAGGTTAATTAGTCATGCTAAATTGACTGTAGGTGTGAATGTGAGTGTGAATGGATGTGTTGCCCTGTGAGAGATTGGCAACCTGTCCATGGTGGAACCCAGCTTTCCCTATGACAGGTGGCATAGGCTCCCCCCGCCCCCTGTGACCCGGAATTAGGTAAGTGGAAGTAAATGAATGGATAGATTTCCCAAACAGAATGGATGAAAGATTTGTTTCCAATCCTTTGTAGTTAAGCAATCAATACTAAACTCTTTTTAGCGTTGATGTAATAAATAATAAACTTGAATTAAAACATGTTATTTCACTCTATCACTCATACTTAAAAATAACAATGAAAAACAAACAAACAGAAAAACAGCCTGGTGTAAGCAGTGCGTTAGCAAGAGGATGTAGTTATCACCCAATGCTTCCAAGCTTGGTAAGCAAACTATATCAATACAATATATTGGTGTAACAAACGAAATACTTGAACATCACACACTAGAATTGGAGCACAAAGTTCTTGGACTAGCTGATGATTTGCATTTTTAAATAATACAAAACTTACCCAGTTACGTGGCTGAGAGGTCAATTTCGGTGAGGCCCACTAAAACAGTACTGACCTAGTTTCCACG